CACATCCCTTAAATAATTTAATAAAAAGTTAAGAGATTTTTGAATACAAACATAACATTCCACAAGATAATAACTGAAAGGGAAAAGTTTTGTCTAGCAATCACAATGGGCCTGAGCTTCCATAGCTTGTACTTGTTTCATCTAATATTCTGAATTTAATCACCAAAAAACTCCCATGGACAATTTATCCAAACCTCTTGGGATTCCCATGTTAGATTACCTCTAGTTTTATGTAAAAGAGAAAAAAGTCTTGCCTGTTGGTGTGTTGAACTATATATGTTTTATTGAACCTCAGTTTTCAGGAAATTGGTCCCTAATAATAGATAAGTACATTAAACAAATTAGTAAATTTAAACTAATTTAAAGTCCTTGAACAAATCACCTAACCAGGCAAACCATTCTTTATGTTGAAAACTAACATAGATATAATTTTGCCAGAGAAAAAGTCTGACCATGGGCTTCCAAAACTTATAAAATATTTAATGTTTGTAACAGTGGTTCCCAACTACTGATCTGTGGATTAGTGCCAGGCCATTTGGTCTGCAAGATGGCTGAAACAAAGTGCATACTTTAAAATGTATGTACTGAAGTACACAGCATGGTCACAAGTAAATAGACGCCACCTTTTCAGAAAAAATGAAATTTTTCAGTCATATTCACATGAATTGATATATTTATAATTTAATTGATATCTAGCAGATCTTCCTTTCACTTCGTGGAGTTTGTTGATCCTTTGGGGCTTCGTGAGAATCATCTCGTCAATTTTAGGTTGTGGGATTTGGGCTCACTCTTGCTTCAAAACTTGGAGTAGATCACTCTTCAAAGTTATTTCTTGACTTGCCGGTCGAGTATGGCCCAGAGGTTTTCGATGGAGTTCATGTCAGGAGAGTGGCTCGGCCAGGGCAACTTCCGGATACCATTTTCTTCCTGCCACTTTTGGGTGTTTCTAGCAGTGTGACACAATGCTCCATCTTCCTGGAACAACGTTGTGTTATTGTCCACGAAACCCGAGGAATAAAATGGCAAGAGTCCTTCCTCCAGTATTTCGACGTATTTCGCAAAATTTATGTTGCCAGTGCACTCCACTAAGCTCGATCTCCCACCAACCCAAACAGCTCCCCAAGCCAACACTCTGAATCCATCATGCTTCACAGTTGGCTGCAACCTCTTGAGCCAAAACTCTTGGTGAGACATT